ACCGAACTTATATGATTTACAGTGTGGTAACAAAAATATTTTGAGTTGAATGGATAAGAAATTTTAATTCAATCTAACTCAAGGTTTATGAGTAGCATTTATTAATAAATTTAATTTCCAAAGACGTAGAATATTTTGTTTTGCAACTCAAAATTTTTGAGGCAATTGATCGCCTCAAAAAATTTGAGTTGTGGGAACTTTTTTGGTTTACAGTGTGGTAACTAAAATATTTTGAGTTGATTGGATGAGCAATTTTAATTTAACTTCAAATGTATGAGTAAAATTTATTAAGAAATTTAATTTATGAAAACTTAAAAATTTCAGGATCAAAACTCAAAAAAATTGAGGCAATTGATTGCCTCAAAATTTTTGAGTTCTGGGAACTTTTTTGGGTTTACAGTGTGCTTCTTTCAGATTCTTAAAACAACCAGATCGTAATTTAGCTCAGAAAAGCAAAAGGAACCGATTGTTCAGGAAGCAACGACTTCACTGACGGGTTTATCAATAAAAAGAGTTTATAAAGATGAGAGGAGCTCATCGGATGAAGGAGCTCTCATCTGGCAGACAGGAACATGAATAAACAAAAGACCTGCTAAGTTAGTAAACACAAGTAGAAAAGGACAACAGCGTTTCCTGACGCCAGTAGTTTATTGGAATGGTGCTTTTACATCTGGGTCGGCGCGGTGGCAGCCAGCCCTGGTCGGTTAATTGCGTTCACACCTGGGAAAACGTTTTCCGAGCTCAGCCAATCAGATTTTCCAGACCTGCTCTCCGGTGGTCGGCTTTGTGCAGCGCCAAAACCAACGCAAGGACAGAGTAGGAAGATGTGAGCTTCATGAGAAGGCTGTTGGAATGGGCTGACCCAAGCAGTAGGGCTGGGCAGATTGATCTAAAATATCGATAGTATTGATCTAACGTTGGTATTGAGTATTTACTAGATATTTGCGTGATGGTATCGATTCCGTTTCTTCTAGCCTGGCAAGCCATGACGTACTCACCGCTACAGATGTCAGTCAATGAGGCGGTCCACCAAACTCCATCATAGAAGATGCAAAACACATCCTTTTCCTAAATCAACGTTAGTACTTCTATCTGATCTTGACTCAAACAAAAGCTAAAGTCATAATAGTCCAAACTTGATGCCAAAGCCGTTTCAAACGAGCGGCTGACCGCCGACTAGTCACATTTTTTTTCCAATAACATCCCTCCTACTTAGTGTTGCGATAGGCCCATGAAATCTATATAGCGCCATGGTTGGACCACTACAGAATGGCAGCCATTTAGATTTTTAGTTTACCTGGCTGATACCTGTGATTGGACTGTTTCGAGCGGCAGCCATGTTTGTTTGCAGGGACATCCCGCCTACCTCGCTAAAAGAGCGCTGTGATGGCGCAAAAAACCATTAAAGCACTTTGATTGGAACGCCACGGATGTCAGTCAATGGGGCAGTCCGCCATTACATAAAAAAAGTAAAACAGCGCGCCAGCACGAGACAAGCACAGAACAGCAGAGAGCGCTGTCGTGGCTGCGTGATGGCAGACTGATAAAGGAGTGCCGTTTGGAATTTTTTTACACAGCTTTATACATTTCAAAAAATCTTGTTTGTTAACCATTTTGAGTTTCCTAATGAAAACTTTATTTGTCTGAAAATGTTCCCTGTATTTTATTATCATCGTACATGATTTATTAAAGGAAAAATTACAAAATAATTAAGTTATCAATAAAACTTGATTTTTCATACAAGATTCTCATATTGATGATCATCAATATGAGAATCTTGTATGAAAAATCAAGTTTTATTGATCCTATTTATCTTAATAAATCCCACAAAACTAGTTGGTACTAGACTAGTAAAAAGTATCGGTATTGGTATCGGTATCGGCAATACTAGCCGGTATTTACTTGGTATCGGATCGATACCAAATTTTACAGTATAGTACAGCACTACCAAGCAGGACTGGACTGGACTTATGATGAAACCATACACGAGGACCAAACTCCCATCCCATCGTAGGTCACATGATCCTGGACTCTGCAGCAGCAAATAAACATGAGCGGGGGTTTCAAGTTTAACCATCAGAGGCCGAATCTTCCAGCGCTGAGCCGGAATTTACCCGTAAACGTTGTTCTGGGTCATTCAGGCGTTCTTTAGCCCGTCGCCCCTCCCCCGCTCACGTTCCACGTTGCAGGTTTCCACGCAGGGCTTTTGTCCTACTCAACATTCCTGTGAAGTCTGACATTCCTGAAAGTCCAGTAATGTGATATCCCAGTATTCCTGCTCTGACTCCACACTTCCTTGAAAAAGATAGACTGGTTACTTTCTAGATAAATTTTTTTTTATCTTCATACTTGGGTATGGAGAATGACAGCTGTAAGATTTAGTGGAAGTCTCATAATTTCAGTTCATCCGGATTAGGACGGTCGGGACCGCTCAACGCGAGCAGAACACCCCCCTCACCGAAGCTTCTGCTTCACGGCGTCAGCAACGACGTCTGCAGAC